TGACAGTTTTCAGTTTGGTGTAACGTCTACATGTAGATCACAAATGCTGGCCAATTAAAACCAATTTCCATTATGCTATTAGTGTTAAGATAAGAGTAGAGCTTTAGAAAAAATATGCTAAAATTTCGTGAGAAATTTTTTTTGTTAGTACGAGGAATTGAGTTTCATTATAATAAATCATTATTCGAGCTATTAATTTTTAGCTACAATGTTATAAGAATAGTCAAAATTATATCATAACTATTTCTATCTAGAAAATCCCATTTAGGGAATTGACCATTTGGATTTAAGTTTTGCTTTGATCGTATTATGTTACACCTAACTTGAACATTTCTAAGTGCAGCGTATTACTGGGTTTTACCAATTAAATATGCTTTTTTTTTTGAATACTGTTTTTTTATTACTGAAATTATCTCAATATTAAATTAAAAAAGGAGCATTTGTCTATGGCATATGTTTCGTTAATCTTTCTAAACTATTGTAATGACAATAATCTCTCATAATAAATTTAACTATTATCTTAGCAAAAATGCCTATTAAAAAAACATTATTCTCTACAAAAACCGCAACCTACAGTTCCAGATTCTGAAATTTCTGACGGTTGGGTTTGTTCAAATGAACTACATAAACCTTGACCAAAATAAAGGAAGCAGGTTTTAATGCCACCATTAAAGAAATACGCAACACAATTAGTATCTTTATAGCATTCTCTACAACAAACTTCTGCTTTTTCTATTAGAGGAACGGTTTTATCAGGAGAACAACAACCGTTACCATCTACAAATGTACCATTTCGTGCAGGACCACCAGAACCACAACAATCTTTAGAAGTGTATTTTTTATGGCATTTTTGTTGGTGTTTGCGAGCATCAATAACTGATACTAATAGATAAATAAGAAAAAAGAGTACAAGTAACTTATTCATTGTTAATTTCTTATAAGTTGATTGCAGTAGAATTCACTCTTGTTATAGTGAACTCAATATAGTGAAGATTCGATATAAGGAAGACTTTTGAATTACGGAATTATTAAACTTCAACTCGATATAAGTGAAGATTTTTTTTGCCAGATGAATTCAGGGTGAATTGTATTTAAATGCTTTTTTGTTCATATGGATGCAAAAAAAACATTAGTTTTGCGTATATGAAATGCATTAATTTTATATGAAGTGCATTAATTTTATATGAAGTGCATTAATTTTATATATGAAATGCATTACTTTTATATATGAAATGCATTAATTTTATATGAAGTGCATTAATTTTATATGAAGTGCATTAAGTTTATATATGAAATGCATTACTTTTATATATGAAATGCATTAATTTCATATGGGGACGCCCATAGCAAAAGCAGGGAATGGGTCTGTATAATATATAGTCCCATTCCCTGCTTTTGCTGTAATATGTGGAATTTTATATTAAATGTATTAAATGCATTGATTTTATCCCCTGATCGAGAATGCAAGATCAGGCGTAATGTAGCATAATCAGGAAAATTCAAAACAAACGTTCGTTTTGTCGAAAATAAATTTTGCCTATTGTTACTGAGTAAATCGCCAAAAAACACACACCAGCAAAACTGAGAAATTGCGACGAGTTGTTACTCCGGTGTTACCACATTGGCTGTAGGGATGTCAAATTACCGTAATTTTACGTAATTTTATGTAATTTTGCGTAAGTTTTCGGTAAGCTAATTTTCATGT